TAGCACACGGTTTATATTATTATTGGTCTAATCTACACAATTCTTTCTCAAGTTCATGCATAAATCACTAAATCAATTGAAAGGTGATCAAGCTCTCAATGCATTAAGTTCAATAATATAAACTCATCATGCAAATAACCAATAAATCTTGAATTAAACTAACAAAAACAGTCACATACTTCAAAAATTAAAATCTATCCATCCCTAGTTCAAAGAAATCTAGCCACACATGTTTATATTCTCAACAGCCATGAAAAATAATAAATCCCAACAGAAAATCATAGTAAAAAGTTCAGAAACAACAAAACCCTATGAAGAATTGCAATTGGCCGAATGGTGTTCTGTGGTCGGGAAGCAAGGCTGGGCGGTAGCGTGGTTCTTCTGCAATTGGATTTGGGTCTTGCGTTCTCAACTCGCAGAGTAGATTAGTGCGGTTCTGTGTCTTCTTCTTTCTGCTGGTGAACCACAGATGCGGATGGCAAGAAGGCTGGGCGGCTGAGCGGCTTCTCCTCTCGCGTCTCTCTGTGTGGCTGTCCTCTTCTGCTGCTGGTAATAAACAGATGTGGGTTCTGGGATGTGGGCGGCTGGGTGTTCTTTTCCTCTTGTACAGAACCCTCTCCTCCGTCTGTGTGGCTCTCTCTCTCTTTTTCTCTGGTTTCTGCTGAGTAGCCTCTATATATATCAAGAAATTAGAACCTAGAACCCTTAATTCCTTTAACCCTAGCAGACATGGGTTATGGGCTTTGTTTTGGGCCTGGATTGCAGTTGGCCCACACTTAAAAATACATAAACCCAGTCTCTTTATTTCTGCACTGTGTTGTCAAAACCGTCACTTTCAATTTCAATTCTGTATTGATACAGAAGGAACTGGGTTGAGCTCATAAAACATCAATTGTAGCTCTGCCTCTTAGCTTTCCAACGCCTAAAGAATCAACTCAATCCGATGCCTAGAGAAAAAGATATGGTTAAATTACTGCAGCATGTGCAAATTATTACTTATTGCAAAATTAATTCCTATCTTAATTTTCACCCACAAATAATGAATTTAATATAAACAAAAGGTGAAACTAAGTTCCAAAAGACCCATAAATTTAATTTTAAGCTCAAAAAGGGTAGATAAATCCATATAAAAATTAAACTCATCAGTATTCTTAACCCATGTCTTTAAAAAAATCTTAAATAAATTAAATAAAAAATTTTAAACTTTTTATATTTGCTGCTTAATTTAATACTTATAATATATTATTTTCATATTTATTACTCTTTTTTTTCCCAATCGAGTGCCCTACTTTCTCGAATGATTAAAATATTTACAAATAATAAATATGTCCATACCCAATTATCAATCCTAATTTCTCCCCTGTTTATGATGATCAGAAATTCAGAATACTCAAATCCACCATAAAGTTATACAATAAAAACAGATCCCCAAACAAAAATAAAAAAAAATCTATTCATGAAATTTTTTATTTTAAAAAATAAACCAAAATTTAATGTGATGTCATGTTACACGTAAGCTTTCCGCTAACCCCAGGCTCGGCTGTCGTTTCTTTGATAGATGGCGCTTATATGGCAATCTTTTCCATATTTTTAAGTGGCAAGGTAAGTGAGTGAGTTTAAAAAATTAATAGAAAAACAAAACAAAGTGTAATTCCTAAATTGGCCTTCACATCTCCTCGAATTTTCCAGACATGGCATTCTTTCAATCTCATAAACATGACTCAAATTTTCAGAACAACAGTTTCCTTTCATCTTCATCCTTTTCTCCAAAATGGCTAAACACCATCAAGAATTTATGCAACTTAAGAACAAATCTAAAATGTTTTCTTTTCGTGTTCAACGTAAAAACATAAGAATTTCCAACATAGTCGATGGTCCCTTCATCTTTGATATTTCTTTGTGTTCAATATCTTTCACAAGTTCACTAGATCTCAATCTAGCAAATTATTTCCATTGTTTGATACTAATAGTTGTCAAATCTGGAAAAAATATCCAGGGCACAAGGTGATGAGAATATACATTTCTAGGGCTTGAGGTTTCCAGCGAATCAAAGGGACAATAGGGGGAAATATAAATTGACTTTAGATCCATGCAAATATATTACTATTTCCGCTTGCTTCTACCAAAATCATCAAAATTTCAGGTATTAGAAACCCGTTGGGTGAGCCTGTAATTGCATTACCGTCGTCAAAGATTCGAACCCAAATCGATCTAGGTTGTCAACAGGTAAAAACCTAGATCTGGATTCTCTTTGAGGCAAACATGAGGCTACAGAGAAAGGAGGCGAGGAGAAAGAGGGAAAAGACGCGATTGCCAGCAAGAACCCTTACTGGGTTTCGAGAACCCAGAAATTTGGACTTGTTGGAGAAGAAGCAACTACTGCCATGAAAGATTTGGGTTATGGGGAAGTTCACAAATTGTTGGTTGTTTAGTGTTCTGCGTTCTTTCTTGAGTCCCATTAGGAGACCGCTCATGGTCCGTGTTTCCATTTGCAACAAGCTTGGGTATGCTGAGAGTTCTGTTCGGTTGCTTGGGGAGGTGGGTTTCAGTGGTATCACGGATATGGGTGACAGGATTTGATTTTGGGGGCAAGCGTTAGGGTTTGGAGAGATTTGAGTGACGGTGGGGGTGTGCAGTTGGTTAGAAATTTGGGGATTTTACAATAACAAAGGAAGAAGCAGAAGCAGAAGATGACGATAAAGAATAACAGATTTAAGGAAAGGCAAGTGTTACATAAGCGTCCAACTCAACAAAAATGGCCACCAAAACGTCCAGGCGTCTAAACATCTCCCGCGTGTTTAAAAAGTCCGAGTTAGCGAGCTGTTAACGAAATGCTGTTGTTAGGTAACGTGGCACGTCAACTAATTGTCTTGGTTAAAAATTTTGTAATCGTATGTTTGGGACATGATTTTTATATAATGTATTTGAATTTAAACTTTTAAAAATTAATATTATTGTTTTTTTATAAAATAAATACACAATTAAATTTATTTCAAATATATATAATTAGATTTATGTATTTCATTACTTTAAATTTATATATTTGAAGTACCTTTTTCACTCTATGTATTTCAAATTTAAACCTATATATTTCAACTTTTTCTTTTTCCTTAATAAACAAATTGAATATCAAATTCACTATTGTTATATTAATGTAAATAGTGAATTTAAAAATACATAAATTTAAAATTATATAT